GAAACAGGTAGTGCATGCGAATTGCAAAGTAGTTGTTAAAATTAACTGAGAGTTAGTTCAATAATATCACTTTTCAAACTATATCGTTAAAAATGTGTAAATTAGTTCATTCTCCATATGCAACTGTTAGGTTTCAGATGTAACTGATAATATATATATATATATATATATATGAAGACATTTTCAAAGCCTCAGGATGGTCGGGGGTGGAAGTGCCTTGCACTGCGGGTTGGCCACCCCTCCGCACACACCTTGAAATGCTCCCATATGACCGGGCGTCTTACATAGCCTCTCCTGAGGAAGTCCTACTCACTGCCTTCACGTGGTGGAGGTGTTTTTTCACCAAAGTGAGAGGGCGAAAGCGGATGCCCGGCGCTCTTCATCGGATTGAATGTCCATTGGATGACAGTCTAGGGGAGATGGCTAAACCCTCATTCCAAACCTCCAACGACTGGCGTATGAAGCTGACTGGAGCTCACCGGCAGACGTATGGACAAAGGGCTTGTTGGATGTCCTGGATGTCTGGCCCCATTGAAAAAGGCGTATGAACCGAACTCCGGTCACCGGCTGCGAATGGATAGTGGACTCCCTACTCCACTCCTACTGCCTTGTAGGTCACACTTGGTTGTGTAAAGGCTAGAGCTGCACTCTCAAACAAAAGGCCGAGCGATTTTGGGGACATCATTCATACCAAATTCCCATGAAACTTCATGAACTCTCTTACAAACGTGGTACAGTCAAGGCTGATATGGAGTACCTGGGGCTACAAACCGTCTACGGACTCCGTCTGTGGAACAAGAATTGGATAACCCTGTCGCAAAACCTTGAATTAGATCGCCGCGCCTGGGCAGCGATGATTAGAGATGTTCATGAAGCCGGCTCATCCTCCCGTAGGAGATAGCCGAAGTAAAGTAAGTAAGTATATATGAAGACGATGGCAGAGTGATAGAATATGATACAAAGTACCCTAATGTGAATTTTTGTGAAAAGTAAGTCACTTGGCGCATACTACGCATACAAATACCACTAAGAAATACGAGCAACTGTAAGTCAATCACCTCAAATAACAATATTTGTTCGCTTAATTTAAATCTATTTAAGTCCTCGAAGACTGTTTCACTGATTTAAAGTCAATCTCATCAGTATATTAACTAACTAACTAACTAACTAATTCAGCTATGATAGCTGTGAAATTGTGAAGAAAGCAAGAACAGCGAATGTAGAACGATAATATGAGCTCATTTGGTATTGACTGACTGATTGGTTTCAACATAGAACTTTGCACCGATGTCCAGCAGTTCGAGTTGCCACACTCCATGTAGCACACAAAGCAAGAGAAGAAAGTAAAAAGAAATGCAAAATAGAGACAGTACACAGAGATATGAGGCAAAAAGAATAGTAATATCGAAGAACAATATAGTTATATTGGGTATTATAAGTCACAAGGAGTGGATGCATCTGCTCCAGCTATTGAGAACGACGATTTTGATCCATATCACCGATTGTCTCCAGTCTTCATTGGTTTTCACCATCCCAAGGACCTCAACTAGGAAGTCTACACCTTCCTACGTGACTTAAACTAACTTTTATGGATTTCATTGACTGATAAAGCCGTGTTTTAATTTGACCACAACTGGCTCTTTTCCACCCTGACCCAATGTCAGCTAACTTTGGCGGTCAAGGAAGGAGATGACTAGATATGCATGCGTAGCACATGTCTTAACCATCTCAGTCGATGTAATTTCACAGCCTCGTCGATTGATTTCCCCTCCCTCCTTACCTAGCACTCGACGCCTAACCTCAATATTGCTCACTCTATTTTACCACTTCACGCGGGAGATACAACAAAGGCACCTATGATCAAAGACAGCTAATCTTTTCATGTCTTCTTCTCTCAATGGCCAGGTCTCGCTCACAGCCATAAATGAGGACGGAGCGGACTGATGAACAGTACACACGTCTTTACATCGACAGCCAGTTGGATATCACGTGTATCCCAGAGATGGCGTAAGCTGGCATATGCGAAATGAGCCTTCTGTATCCGTGCTGAGATTTCGTCAGAGATCAACCCGTTGGCACTGGCTGATGGTACTTCCCAAATAAGTGAAGCGGTCAAGGTGCTCTACCACTTCACTCCCTATTTCTAAACTAGGAGTCAGTGTAGTCCAGTCCAGTAACATCATCTTACATTTTACAGGGGTGAATCGCATGCCAAACATACGAAGATTGTTGCTCAAAGTGTTCAGTAGACTCTGCATTTTGTCAGCGTCCTCGCCTAGAAGGACTATATCATCTGCATATTCTAAGTCAACGAGATTATTCCCTGGTGGTAGCAAGTCAATCCCTGAGCCTCTGAAGTCAGTGAGTGTTAACTCCACTAGTACATCTATGATGAAATTGAATAGAAATGGGGATAGTGGGCATCCTTGTCGGATACAACTGGTTGTCACTAGTTCAGATAACAACTCGCTGTAAGCTCTCACCTGACTGCATGAGTTCGAGTACAGTGCCCTGATCAGTGCAATGTATTTTCTCGGCATTCCCTTTGCAGCCAAGCATCGTTTGGCATTATTTTTTTGGAGGGGGTGTATTCCTCCTCTCAACAGCTTATAAACTAAGTGGTCACATATAAATATAAACTACAAAACGGGTGTAACTTACTTTTGTCACGTTGACAACAACTTATTGATAGGAACTATTATTAGTGAGTAACATATATCTTGAATAATGTAAGTAGTCAAGTCATTTAGTTTTAAAAAGATTGGCTATTTATAAGATAATCAAACGAATATTCTTAGAAAGAGGAGAGAGAGGAAGAGTTCAGAATTTGACCAGAATTATAGGGAAGAGGGGATTGATCATATCCAGCTGCCAAGGTTGTATACTTCTACGACACTCAGAAGTTGACCAATTCCCATCTTACTTTACCTCCACCAACTAATTTACATGTACAGAGAAAAGGGATTTATTTTTGACATTTCTCAATATATACCACAATTCCTGAGACTAAGTGGCTTACATTTACTAAACACTACGAATGCATGTCATATATGGCACAGCCTGCGGTATTCAAAGTAATTAACAGAAGTAAGAACCCCAGACTGCTACGTTTTTATTGAAGCAATCGTCATCAAACGGTTGAAACCAAATCTATGTACTCAGGAAGAGACATTGGTGAGGTTTGCACTACCTTACTGATAATACTTACAAAACAAACTATTATTATTCTTTTGAGTTTCTAGTGGAACATAAGGCTCCAAGAGGACATCCCCATTTTATCCTGTCCTCTTTGGCTGGTCCCATGGCTTCCCATAAGCTTGCATTTCCTCCTTACACAATCTCCTCCATGTCCACCTTGGATACACACCCAACTTGTCCTTTCCCATTCGCTCCTCACTTAAACGCTTGTCGCACGATATCACTCACAGATCTCTTCAGCATGTGTCCAACTTACTTCCATTTTCTCCAGAATATTTGTTGAGCAATAAGTTCTTGGTTGGTGTTAGTTCCTAGATTTTCTTACTGCTAATTCCTTATGGCCATCTGATCTTTAGTATGGAGCAAAGGCAGCTGTCGATAAAAATCTGCAGCCTGATTGGATATACTTTTCGTGAAGTACCCAACAAGTTTCTGACCCATAAAGAATAACTGAATGGCTCAACATTGGTGTTTAAAATCTGAATTTTGCTATTGATGCTGAGTGCGGCAGATTTCCAAACTGATTTCAGATTGATGAAAGTTTATCTTGCCTCGCCTTTCCGATTCTACTTTTGACATCCTAATGCGCACCGCCTATAGTTGAAAATATGCTGTCTACATTGTATACAATTCTTACTACGTCATGTATTCTTCCCTATCTTTTTATCTAAATATCACTTGCCTTACTCTTCTTGCTATTGTAGTCATACAATCTGTTGTACAAACTTACTATTTCTATTGCAACTTTGCTTCTATGCAAAGTTCTGAACTCTGTCTCTCTTCCCATCTTTTTCCCCGAATATTCGTCTAATTATCTTCTAAATAGTGAAAGCTAGGTGGGAGGGCATGTGTCAACTTGGTGTAGTTCTAGCGCTGTTGCCATTTTACTCTGGCTGTCAAAGGTGGTGTATACAATGATTCGGTGCGCTTCTCTGAGCTGAAGATGTACGGTGACTCTGCATATTCGATCATCGCTGCCTCCAACTGCCTTATCTTGCTAGTAGTTCTGAGATCTGGCAGAATGTGTTTAGACATCGTGTAAAAATCATCTCTCATTGATTGTGGTCATTTTAAAACACCAACCGTGGTGGCTTAAACATGTGCTACGTATTTTATCCCAGAGGCTTCCATACCGCCTCCTGTTTGCTAGCCCTGAGACTAGATGGAAAAAGCTGAGAAATTGGTCAGCCTATGTATCTGCGTTAGGTTAGCATCCAAGACTCCCTGGGTCGGGTCTTAGAGATATTTTGAATCAGAGGCCCGAAACCTTATCAGATATGGCCGAGAATTACAATCAGCGGAATTTCCTTCTTCACCCCCTTTATGAAAGTAACATAAAGTGATGAGTGTTGAATGATCTCGACAGATATGCTTATTTGCTTTCTGGATGACATCCGTCATTTATTCTATCCCTATTTTTTTTTAAATATTGCTGTTTTACTATTGTAATCTGGCACGTCGTCTCTTGGTCCCTATATTGTACGGTGTTTGTACTTTTTAATAATAATAACGTAATTGGAGTATGTGTTATGCGTGCCTAACCACTGCTTCTTCTTTCGATGAACAACACTGACTAACTAAAGTAGGGCCACATCAGAAAGAGAATTAAGGGTGGTCAGACCAAAGTACTTAACCGAAATCGCTAACTGAACGTATTTCCAATAGTTGCTCATCAGTTGCTCAGTTGTGAATTTCATTGTATTCATCTGCTAGTGGTTTATCACCTGAAATTGTCTTACTTTTTATCATGCATTGCAATAATTTATTATATTTTGTTTTCCCCTCCCCCCCACTTCTTCTAGTTGTCCACGTGTTATACCTATAGGCAAATTGATCCCCTACAAAACCAGTGTCATCATTGTATTTCATAATGAAGCTTGGTCAACATTGCTACGTACTGTACATTCTGTTCTTGACCGTACACCATCAGAATTACTTGAAGAGATTATTCTTGTCGATGATGCTAGTACTCAAGGTAGTTAGACATTTCAATATCATTTTCTATTTTTGACATTAACTTCATATTATTATTATTATTATTATTATTATCATTATTCTGTTCTTGCATGCGATTGATGAGTTTTGTAACTTAATAACAACTTGCGATTCCATACAAAAGGCAATGAGCGACATCTTTTGTGTTAAGGCCTAGGGTGACAATATCTGGCTTCACAAACTCCTCAGAAGTTGAGGTGGGTTTCGGACCCATGACCCAGTCAGTGTTTGGAATTCGATTGCCTAGACCAACAAGCCACAACTCCACATGAGTTATGTAAATGAGTGAAGCTTAGTGTCTGCGTATCGCAAAACTCAGCGTATATAATCTCTCACCTCTAAGTACTTTAGGTATGCTTTATGACTGACTGACTGACTAACTGTGCTTCAACGTACGACTTTGCACAGAAGTGCAGCAGTTCAACTTACCACACACAGTTCAGTCGATATGGGTCATCATAAAGAGTGAATGCATCTACACACAATTCAGAACAGTTTTTTGAGCCTTATCACCAATAATGCCCATTCATCGGTTCTCTGAATCCCCCGAGGACCCCAACCAGGAAGCCTATACCTCCCTCTACGTGGTTGGTTCAAACCAACAGTCAAATACTTTATGGGTTGTTGCCAGTTATTAGTTTGACCTTTCCCTTCCTCTTTCCCAACTAATCCTATGTCGGTTAACAATGATCAACAAAGAAGACGGTGGCTTAGCATGCATCTCACTTGCCCTAACCATCTGAATCGATGTGGCTTCAGAACCGCCTCGATTGTCATCCCTTCCTCACCTAACACTTTACGTCTAACCTCGTTATTGTTCACTATATTACACCATTTAACACGGGAAACAGAGTGCAAACTTTCGAGATCAAAGACACTCAGTCTTTTTATATCTTTCGCTTTCAATAGTCATGTCTCACAGCCATGACAAGTGATATCAGTTTTGTATTACTAAATTGTTGCGGAGTCGAAACTGTTGTCAGGTGACGATATTAACCGATTGTACAACTAGATTAGCATTTTCGGGATTTGTAGAGAATAAGCAGGCTTCCATAGTTTTGTCCGGGATTCTTTCTCTCCTGAATCATACAGACTCGTATCTCAGAGGTAAAAGATGTTTCATCAAGTTTGCGGGTACATCGTCACCTTGACGAATCCCAAAAAACAAAACCACTGGGTCAAGCGTTCATTTTAGACTGATTCTTTTCAAAACAAAGTATGCAGATTTCTGCGTCACATACACTACTTAAAATAAACAGAGTGATATAAGACTAAATAATTGGAAATACATCAAGTGGAAATGAAGGCAAAAATGAATCCACGCCAGTATTTCAGATTTGAAGCTGTAACAATAGATCACATAGTTAAATGGACCCCGTTGAGGCAATCTACCCTGTTTGAACATTGGCTCAGAACCGTTTATAATGGCGTATATTTATTCAATCCTTATCTTAAAGTTGCTGGAAATGTTCGACTATTATTATTATTATCATTACCTTGGGTTCCGAGTGGAACGTAGGGCTTGACCAGCACATCTGCATTTCATCGTGTCCTCTACAGTTCTCATAAGCTTTTCTCGTCACATGACCTCTTCAGTGTGATGCCTCGCCTAGTTTACTAGCAGGTCCTAAGCCCGGGAAAAGAAGGGAGATTAGACGTGTGGAGCTGGCGACTCTACCCCAGAAAAACAATCCAGTTGCTACAGAATCTTTAAAGCACTGAACACATTTAGTACTCTTCGTCTGTTGTAGTACTACTGGATTTATATTCTCCTGTTCGCCTTGCGTTTTTTTTTGAAGTTATAGCATATTAAAATAAAGTTTAAATGTATTTTGGCCAATGTGATTGATTATGAGTTTTATCACATTTGAACTCAGTTTTTCAGAATAGGTGTCCCATATACCAAATTAAAAGCCACACTTATTGTGTAAGGACTGACGATACTACTCAGTCATCACAGCTGAATTAGATGGCATAGGACTCAAATCTGTGCGTCGGTGGCACAGTGGCTAGGATACTCGCCGACCATGCATATGGTCCAGGGTTCGATCCCCTGCCGACGCACACCTGATATCAATGGTCGGCCTGCAAAATTTGGGGCCACCGATATCACATGCTGAAAATTCCATACTTGTACCAAAAATACTGTGTGGTTTCAAGCTATAATAAAAAAAAAAATTCATCAGTTGAAAACCAACTGCTTAAGCAAATGACGCACATCTCGAACTCTGTGTATGCGATTATTAGTTCCCGGTTGTCCAAGTCGTAGAAGTTGATTTCCTCTTGGGTTACCTGAAACTAGATTATCAATGTTTAGGCCGGTCACCTATGGCCTGTTTAAAGTGGTTTCTGAAGTTGTATCCTCATTAAGATCTCACCGTCGGCTGTGAACCGCTGAAAGTCAAGTTGGGGTGTACAGTTTTTCGAAGTCAACCTTTTCTAACCACTCATCTCCAATGCGGTGAGGCAGCCTATATAAGATATGCTGGTCATCTGAGGCAAATACCTTACTGCTGTAACATTCCTATTCGTCAACAGTACGATTTTGCCTTTAGAACCCCCCCCGCCCCCGCAACATAGTGTAAACAAGTTTCATTATGATGGAGGTCAACAGCACTCAGCATCAAAAATAACATCCGGATTTTCAACTCCAATGTGAAGTCAATCAGTGCTACTATACGGATCAGAGACTTGCACTGCGCGTCATAAAGAGCATCTCAAACAAACTACAGACCTTCATTAACAGTTGTCTTCGCTCAATACTCAAGATCAGATGGCCAGCCAGAAAAGATCAGCAACAGGGTGGGATCTCTGGCAATGAGCGAACCAACCCAGCAGGAACCGATTGTGAAACAAATAGGCAGGAAGAAATGGAGATGGATTGGCTGGCCATACTCTGAGGAAACAATCCATCAAGTGACATCACTAGACAAGCCATTGCTCGAGTGGCACGCGAAAGGGAAGCGGCGAGTTGGTCGTCAGTGCTAAGGTGGGGTGACTTGGAGGAGGTGATGTGAAGAGGAGATGAAAACGTGTGGACAGACTTGTAGCCAGGTGAAGACTGTAGCAGAGAACCGAACGCAATGGAGACGCACGGCTGAAGCCCTATGTTCCTCTAGGAATTAAAGGAAACAATAATAATTATGATTGTTAATGGTTTTAGTTTAATCACTATCCAAACGATCTTAATCAGTGCAGCAGCTCTTTGAATCATTGTGATATGCGAGCCCAACCACCAACCGCATCAACTTACCACCTATCAGTTAAGATAGGCTTTTTTTAAAAATTAATTTTCGTTGCTTTGAGAATACTAGTCAAACTACCTATACACTCGCTGACATTGTTGAGGCTAACAGTGGGATGGCCTCATCGAACGACGTTGAGAAAGGGAAAGAGAAAAGAATACGTGCTTACAAATAATTGGTGTTGAGCAGTCCATTAGTTCAGTAGTAGTTTGTCTGTAAGCTAACTGCAACTGTGTTCAACACAGTTACAATGAGGTAGGTAGGTAGTTATTTTTTTCATGATGTGAATAGGTAAATCAACGTTTTCGATAAGCTAGTCGATCTTAATTTTTTTGTTGACATAAATCAATTTCCGTTTTCTATGAAATATGCTATACTGTGACTGCTATGGTTACCGTGTTTGCGCGCGCGTGTGTGTGTGTGTGTTGTATACACGTCGAATGTTGAATCATTCTAGGCGGGGATTGTTTCTTTTTCTTTTTCAGAAAGCGTGCGATACATATATAGATATTCTCTTTATCAATTACTCGCTGAAATGTTTTCAAGAGAATTAATAAATAGGAGTGGTCAAAACTGTTCTCTAGACTGGTTGAGCCACAGTAAAACGAATCGAACAGTGTATTGTATTGTATTGAGTATTGACTGATCGATTAATTAGTTGAATTATAATACATCTAACGTGGTAGTAGTCATAGAATGATTAATCGTCGAGTGTGCTGGAAATAATTAACAATTTAACAACAACTAGTGCTTCATGAATTGTATGGGGGAAGAAAAGAAGCCATTCCGTTTTCCGCCTCATTCGTATTTTCTTAGAATTTACTAGCCTTCGAATACAGTTTATTTTATTGTTTTGAACTAGAATCCATGTCGATTCGCAGGTTGAACTGACTGTTGAAGTAAATAGTGGTGAGTGACCTTCGTAGCATTGGATCATTTGTTGGTGTTCTAGTTTTGCCGCATGTTTCATAGTAGCTACGAACTAATGCAAATTGATATTCAAGTGTTAGTTTGTAGGGATTTGATTGGTTACAGGATTTTCATCATGACGTGACATTAGTTAGAAAACCATTGGAAAACCTGGGAGTACTGGACAGCTGTTTCGTCCCAGTTAGGGACTCTTCATCAGTACGCACCCATCGGGATTCGAACCCAGGACCTTTTGGTTTACAAGGCGAACTCGTATACCATTAAGCCACTGGGACCCGATCCAATGGCCCATGAATTCTAACTTCTGCCAATGGTTCTCTAACTAATGTCAGCTCATGATGAAAATCCTGTAACCAATCAAATCCCTACAAACCAACACTTGAATATCAATGAGATGCTCACTAGCGACTTGTCCTATTCAGGTAGGTAGTTACCTGGAGTTCTAGTGAGAAGTCGTGACCAGTAGGGTGCAGCAGGTCGGGTGTGGGGACAAATACTCGCCGAAGACATTGGCTAGGGGTCACGCTATGTCGTGAATTGGCAGAAGCTAGAATTCATGGGCCATTGGATCGGGTCCCAGTGGCTTAATGGTATACGAGCTTGCCTTGTAAACCAGAAGGTCGTGGATTCGAATCCCGGTGGGTGCGTACTGATGAAGAGTCCCAAACTAGGACGAAACAGGTGTCCAGTACTCCCAGGTTTTCCAATGGTTCTCTAACTAATGTCAGCTCATGATGAAAATCCTGTAACTAATGCAAATTGGGTTGGGAGTAAGGTATTTGTTAAGGATATCCATTGATTCCAGTGCAGATTCCGTCACGTACCAGTGTCAGCTTAGGAATTCTTCAGCTATAAGCACCTGATGACTGACTGATTTTCAACTTTGTACAGAAGTGCAATATATATCAAGTTTCCCTCACTCTATGCCCAGATTGGGAACAAAGAGAGAAAGAAGGGATTCATAGTAACCATAATCGGTGATAGAATAGTAATATGGGAAAATATGAGGACTAAGTAATTCTGGGAAATTACAAAAGAGGGATACATTTGCATCAATGAGAACAGTTTTAAGCCGCCATATCACTAACAGTCGCCAACCATTGGATCTTAGTGTGTCAAGAACCTCAACCAGTCAGTCTACACCTGTTCTTCGTCACTCAAACCAACAGTCAGAGATCTAATGGACTAATTCTAGGTTTTGTTTTGGCCGTCCCTACCTCTTTTCCAATTTAGTCCTATGTCACCTAACATTACTTAACATGTCGTACATATCTCCTAGGCATTTCAATCGATGTAGTTTCACAGTCTCATCGATTGACTTTCTCTCCTTACCTGATACTCTCCACCCACCCAACTTTAGTGCTATTCACCACATTACACCACTTACTACGGGAGATAGAACCCAAACATCTAAATGGTCAAAGACAGCTGGTCTATCAGGTCTCCCACTTTCAGTTACTTTGTCTCACAGCCATTAGAAAGGATAGAGCACTAGTAAATACAAATCGAGAATCGGGAAGGCGAGAAACACATTCATCAACCTGAAACCAATCTGGAAATCTTCCGCTGTCACTCAGCCTGCATCAACAACAAAGTGATTGCGATTTTCAATACAAACGTCAAGTCAGTTTTGCTATACGGATCAGAAACTTGGCCAGTGTGTCACAAAGAATATTTCCAACAGCCTGTTGCACACCTTTATCAACAACTGTCTTCGCTGGCTCTATACTGAAGATCAGATGGCCGGAAAGAATCACCTACAAGAAAGTATGGGAACAAACGAAACAAGAATCAATCGCCCAGCAGATATGGAGGAGAAAGTGGAGATGGAATCGGACACTCGCTGAGCTGAGGAGGCCGTTGGGTGACATCACGCGTCAGGTCAGTGCTCGAGTGGAACCCGAAAGGGAAGCGGCGAGTGGGACGTCCTAGGGTGACATGGAGGAGATCGTGTGAAGAGGAGTTGAAACAATATGGAGTAACATGGATGCAAGTGACAAGTACAGCAGAAGACAGTAGCAAGTGGAGACGTGTAGTTGAAGCCTTATGTTCCACTAGGAACCCAAGGGAATAATAATAATGATAATAATATGTCTAGTGTGTTTCTTGATTCTTAATGATTCTCTAATTCTAATTGATGTTGTTTTTTTTTTGCATGATTAAATCTACACTTAAATAAATCACTATGTTTTATGTATGTTTTTGCATTATCGATTCTAGCTAGGGCTTTTGTAATACTACGACTAAGATACAGTTATGGTATGTATGCTTAAGTAAACAAGTTTATATATTACTCAAACATAATTAGATGCTTTTATATACCTATCCTATTTTTTATTTGCATCTTTTTTTCACAATTGAAGTGTAAAGTAGTATGTGTATGCACAGAAATAGGATTGATTCATTAGAAGAAAATCACTCAAGTAATATGTCTGCTTTTATCAACTAATTGTGAACTATTATGGATTAAAAATTTATTTTGTCAAAGTCACACAGAGTGTCATACAGTAAGTAATATTTACTGGTGACCACGTCTCCAGTACAATTTACTGCTGCTCATAATCATATCATATCAAGGCACTACTCACACAACTTTCTAACTTCGTTTATATAATTCCATCAATATTTTTCATCGCTTGACTTGATTGGTAGTAGTATTTTCCATATTTCCGGTATGAGTGATGAGTCATTCCTATTGCACGTGTTGGGTGTAGATCCGATGAACAAGGATTCAGTAATCAATCTCTCTCTCTATCTCCACCTACCTATGTTACTTTTTAGAATTATAACCCTCTCACACCATGCTACTATATGGTTGTGTGTTAATGCATGCATGCAGTGCAATCACTGAGTGCTGAGCTCCTTTCTAAATTACTCATCTTCTCGGAGTCAACCATTCTAACCTTAGCTAAATTCTTATGTTCCGACAATCTGACTACCCTCGACCTACTAGTTTGACCTATGTAGTTGACTTAGCTCACAGTCATTGCAAGGTATTTTGTAAATTATATTATTTTGTCTAATTGGATGAGGAGAGTGTCTTAACCTACAGAGCTTGTCCTACCTGAGTGAGTTTGTAGGTTTACATGTGCCACTCTAATTCCTGCTTTATTAAGAATCCTACGTAGGGTCTCAGATGACCCCTCCTTATATGGTATAACTGTAGATGCCTTGGCAGTGGATAGGACTTATCTGACAGAGGTTATGATGTATGGCAACAGGAGAGCATTTCGTGAGAAAAACTGGAATGTTCACCAACCCTCGACCGTATCAGGTCTTTGGTGGTTCGTGGTTCAATGGTAGAATGTTCACCAGCCAAGCTTGTGGTCCGGTTTCAACTCCCAGCCGATGCACGCTCATCTTCGCCTAGTTTACTTACTAGTGGTAAGTCTGAGAAAGAGGAAGGGCTCAGTGTGAGGCTGGAAATCTTATGTGGTAAAAACAACAGCACCGGTACAGAAAATTCAAGGCTCAAAGATTGAAGCCTTCTCTATGTTACACTCGGAATCCAAAGGAATGAAAGAGATACAAAAGAACTAGGAAAACATGATATTCTGGAAGATATTGGAGGTCGGAAAGAGTGGTCACGAGTTGATACTGGTTAGAGAAACATTGAAAACCATGGAATACTCAATACTTGTTTCGTCCTCCTTTGGGACTCATCGGCAGTACTCACCCCTCACCGGGATTTGAATGCAGGACCTCCCGGTTACAAGGCAAGGTCGTAGATCATTCAAGCATTGGGACCTGACCCAATGGACCATGAATTCTACCTCTTACCAATTTGTGATTCATTCTCAGCTTATCTTGTCTTTATTATCTGACTACTGTTCATTATATGACTTATTTATTTTATCCTTATATTTGTTATTTGTCATCCTTTGGATTTACATTCAACCTAGCCTATTTGTTTGTTTATAGTTCTGTAGTATTTATATTTCTCTGACAATTGTGAAGATAACTCACCCTCTGATTATAAACACATTAGCATGCAACTTTTAATAGTCTATTCACATTTTATTGTATGTTCTGAATGATTGTGCATTTTATATGAATTTAATTGACAATGTTATAACCAACGGACTGTTATTATTCTTTATTATACCTGTACCCCAATACAGTTTCTGATGTAATTTTCATTCGTCTTTACTGTAAAATATCGGATGTTACTTCAAGATTGTTTGCACCTACGCCCTGGTCTAAGAATACGGAGCAAAAAGTAATTGAGTGTGTTGACAGCACTTATTTGGGAAGTTGAACCAGGCCTAATGGACTGATTGCTGACAAAATCTCAGCAAGGATAAAAAAATTGACTCCTGTAGGACTTGCCAGCCTTCGTCATCTTCGGTGTAGACGAATGTGTACTGAGCAGGAATTCTCTCTGTCCTTCTTTACAGTCGTGAGGCATGGCTGTTGAAATTGGAAGGTATGAAGAGACTAGCCATGTTTTGACCATAGGTATCTGCGTTCACTCCCTCACGTTAGGTAGTGGTATCGTATTGAAATTCGGTGTAGAGTGTTAGGTAATGAGAGAGAGAGAGAGTGAGTGAGTCACTCGACGAGGTTGTGCGGCTGAAACGAATGTGTTGCACATGTTGAGCCATTAATGTTATCTGACATGGGATTTGGTTAACTAACAAAAACAGTGTTAGTCGTGTGGCCAAAATAAAACCTTGCATCAATCCATGAAATCCTTAACTGTTGGTTTGAGTCATGTAATGCACTGAAGACTACCTGTCTGGGGTCATTACGATGACGCTACAAACCAATAGAAGGAGACTGTACTGTGTGAAGTGTGATAACTTGAATCGCTGTATTTTCTCGCGAAGTTATATGTTGAAAATTAGGTCAGATGGGAGTGTAAATTAGAGTCTATTCATAAGAAGATATAAAATGAGGTATTTATCCTCCATTACAGTAGATCTGTTATCAGAAATGTGAAAGCGTCTTGCATCATAAAAAACGTGTGTATACCCATGAATGTTTTGGTTAACCGAGTTTAAATAAACAAGAGTTATAGAATAGTTGGTCTAAGCTGATTTCAACTTTTCCCGTTGATTGATTCGACCAAAATGTTCAGCTTCTGTTAACATGTCGTGGCTCGTAGTATGGATGTTTTGACGTTGTCTGAGGATTAACCTTGATGTTTTTTGGTGGAATGTGACTAGCAGTGGAATGCAATCCACGGCATGCGCATTTCACCTTATTTGGGTCTCGTCGGCTGGACACACTGTCATTCACTGGGGATTGCACGTGCATCCAGATGATGGGTCTCAAACAGGACGAAATGTGCATGCTTTGGATTCTACTGCTAAAGCACCGTCTACCAAAAATAACGTCAAGAGTTATACACTAAATGTTTTTGAAGAAAAGTTGTTCTCATAAAATATTATTTTGTTTATGCATTTACATATTTATATATTTATTTACTCGTCTTTTTAATCTAGAACATTTAGGTCAACAATTAGATAATTATGTAAACAAGTTAAATCAACATGTACACGTTGAACGAATGCATAATCGTAGTGGACTTATCCGTGCAAGATTACAAGGCGCAAAAATTGCTAAAGGCAAAACATTAACATTTTTAGATGCACATTGTGAAGTAACTATTGGTTGGTTAGAAACACTACTTGTACATATTGCTGAGAATCCTAAACGTATAGTCTGTCCTATTATTGATGTTATTAATCATGATACATTTGAATATCTACTTGGTAAGTCAATGGTTCTTTTCTTTCTTTTTCTTATATATCAATCAGCCTTTTTAGTTTTGGAGTTGATAATATTTTTCCCATTGAGATGTTATTTGATTGCTGGTAATTAGCAGTGGAATGCGGGATGCACCACATTTCGTCCTATTTGGGAATTGTGCAATTCCTCCAAAGCCTCAGGATGGTCGGGGGTGGGTGCCTTGCGCTGCGGGTTGGCCACCCCTCCGAACACCTCTTGAAATGCTCCCATATGACCGGGCGTCTTACATAGCCTCTCCTGAGGAAGTCCTACTCACTGCCTTCACGTGGCGGAGGTGTTTTTCACCAAAGTGAGAGGGCGAAAGCGGATGCCCGGCGCTCTTCACCAGGTTGACTGTCCATTGGATGACAGTCTAGGGGAGATGGCTAAATCCTGATTTCAAACCTCCAACGACTGGCGTATGAAGCTCACTGGAGCTCACCGGCAGACATATGGACAAAAGGCTTGTTGGATATCCTGGGTATCTGGCCCCATTCAAAAAGGCGTATGAACCGAACTGCGGTCACCGGCTGCCAATGGATAGTGGACTCCCTACTCCACTCCTACTGCCTTGTAGGTCACACTTGGTTGTGTAAAGGCTAGAGCTGCACTCTCAAACAAAAGGCCGAGCGATTCTGGGGACATCACTCGTACCAAATTCCCATGAAACTTCATGAACTCTCTTACAAATCAGATCGCCGCGCCTGGGCAGCGATGATTCGAGATGTTCATGAAGCCGGCTCATCCTCCCGTAGGAGATAGCCGAAGTAAAGTAAAGTAAAGTAATTGTGCAATCCCCAATGAGTGATTATGTTCCCCCTGAGACTTTAACCCACCGTTTTAAACACCAGAGCGTTATTCACTGAACCACTTGAGCAACGAGATCCACCTCTTGTGTAACGAGTGTCAGTTATTATTTATTTTTAATTCAATTTTGTTCTTTCTGTTAACTGATTGGCTCGAAATGTTCGGCGTCTGTTGATACGTAGGCTTCTAGGGTGGACACTTCAGAGATGTTTGAGGATTAACTTGAAGCAATTTAATTTTGATTATAGCTTGATTCCACACAGAATTTTGGTACAAGTATGGAATTTTCAGCATGTGATATCGGTAGCCCAAATTTAGCAGGCCGACCATAGATATCAGTGTGCGCCGGCGGGATCGAACCCGGACCATGTGCATGGTCGGCGAGATTCCTGACCGCTGTGCCACCGACGCACCGATGACTAGTAGTGGAATCGGAGATGCGAATTTTGTCTTGTTTGAGCCTTGTCGGCTAAATGCACGTGCAATCAATCACCAATGAGCAGTGGTTTCCCACTGGGACTCGAACCCAGTACCAATCGTTTCAAACGCCGAAGCGTTATCCATTATACTACTCGAGCCAACTTTTGTGCGTCGTAGATAAGTTACTAATTTCTTTTAAGTTAACTTTCACTTTTTCCGTTGACTAAGTGAACCGGAATGTTGGGCTTCTTTTGATATGATGATGGCTCCTAATACAGATACTTTGACGATGTCCGGGTATTAACATTGAATAATTAATGCACATATAGAATTTAGTCAGTCTCATAAGATATAATCCTGTATTAGATAAGTGCGTCGGTGGCATAGCGGTTAGGACGCTCGCCGACCATGCACATGGTCCGGGGTTCGATTCCCGGCCGACGCACTCCTTTACCAGTAATAAAGCTGATAAAGAGGAAAGGTTAGGCATGAGGCTAGCTACCCCATCCTGTAAAATAAACACTGCTAAAGAAACTTCAAGTCACTAGCTTTGAAGCCCTATGTTCCACTGGGGAACGTGAAGGAAAAAAAATTTTATATAACACATGATACGGTACGATTATTATTATTATTATTGTCTAGTTATGAATACTGTATCACTGTGTCATATAAAATAAATTTATATCATATGGGATTAACATTGATGCTAACGATTGATTACCAAATGGCATGAAATGCCGATCCTGGATTCAACTTCTAGTCTGTATCCATAACATAACATCAATGTGATATGACTGTTAATGTCTGTCTGTCTTTTTCGACATAGAACTTTGCACATATGTGCAGCAGTTCAAGTCGCCACACTCCATGTAGCACACAAAGCAAGAGAAGAAAGTAGGAGAAATGCATAATATAGACAGTAAACAGAGGTGTGAGACAAAGGAATAGTAATAACGAAGAACAAAATAGTTTCATTGGAAATCATAAGTCACAAGGAGTGGATGCATCTGCGCCAGCCATTGACAACGATTTTGAGCCATGTCACCAATTGTTTCCAACCATTGATTTTTACCGTCCCGAGGACCCCAACCAGTCAGGAAGTCTACACCTTCCTACGTGGCTTAGACTAACTGTTGTAGATTTCATTGACTGGTGCCATGTTTTGGCTGTTTGACTGTTAATACACTTGATGGTTTGTTCTAATGAACTTCCTACCTAGTCGATTTGCGGGCCTACTGTTCTAATCACTATCAGCGATATAAACGACACGATACGATGGCACCGAACCCGCGACTCAAGAAGAAAGAAGACAGACCGTTGACGTAAAAAGTTCTTAGTGTCGAATCAATGTATATATATATATATACATATATATATATATATATATAATTTTAATGGCCTTGAGAGAAACTAATTACACTGATAAGTTAAAACAACCAACAGCCAATAGGATCCCAAGGGCATATGTGGCGGGGAATACAAACAGAATTGTGTGTCGGTGGTACAGTGGTTAGGGGACGCTCGCCGACCATGCACCTGGTCTGAGGTTCTATCCTTGGCCGATGCACACCTGATATCAATGGTTGACCTGTTAAATTTAGGCTACGGATATCATATACTGAAAGTTTTATACTTGTACCAAAATACTGTGTGGAATCAAGCTATAATAAAATTTTTAAAAAATTTTAAAATGTGTTATTTGAAACATCAGGTCTGTAGAACACACAGACATCGTAGAAGCGTCCATACTACGACGAGCCGACATGTCAACGGAAGCTGAACATTTTGATCGCATCAATCAGCGGGAAAAGCAAAGATCGACTTAAACAAGATAATTTATCACTGAGTAATTTTAGAATCTAACCTACGTGTTTTTACTGATTTCCTTAGATGGTTAGTTAATTAGTTAGTTGTCTGACAACCACAAGCCCATGCTGGTGTGCTTGGCAACCATCCAAGTCTATTTTGTTTATGTGTATGTGTGTGTATGGGTTAATGATACTATCTGACTATTCTTACGTCGGTAGGTGGAGTTGGATTTCA